ATCTCAAATTCATCAACTACGTGTCCCTTATTTCAATCTACCTTTCTCACCCTTATTTCTTCTTAGTTTTTTCATTTTATGTTATTTTTCATTGCTTTAATTCTGTTTATTCAAAACTTTTGACCTATATGTCTTCCTGTTTCAAGATGATTATGAGTTTGTGAAATTGTGCATTTGTGCTTTCAACACCAGTACTAGTGCTTGATGTCCTTTTGTGTATCTATAGGGCTCCCCCTGATTCCTTTGTGCGTCTGGTTTGACAGATGTTGACATTTTGAAAGTGTCTATCGATCATGCACGTTCATGGCGGTGGATTGAGGTATTGGCCACCATGTCTGGTTTTGATCTTCGAGTTTGTTGTAAACTATTTAATTTTTCTTTTGCTAATTTTTTTATTTATTATTTATTATTTTATTTGTTTCAAGTTGCAAACTCGTGTATGTTGTATTTTATGATCATCAGTTCATTGTAATTTAGTTTTATTTGTTCAGCGTTTTTGTATTAGGATTCTTCTTATTTGTTTTCTTCTAGTATTATTTCCTTGGGATTTTTTCATCCTTTGGACTATGAATAATTGAATGATGTGTTATCAAGTCTGTTCTCGCAAAGAGAAGTTGAGTGCATCAGGTCTTTGGTGATTCCAGTGTTTGATGGGGTAGATGAATGGTGTTGGCATCACTCTAAAAATGGGTTATATTCAGTGAAAAGCGCCTATAATTTACTCCTAGCTGATCAAAAGCACAACAAAGCTACGTTTTCGAAAGGAACAATTTGTTTTGATTGGAATCTTATATGGAATGCTAGGATTCCACCGAAATTTAAGCACTTTGTGTGGAGGCTTGTGAGGGAAAGCATTGCAGTGAGAAGTAAATTGAAGCATAAAGGTCTGATTATGGATGGCATTCGTCCAATATGTGGGGATTATGAGGAGTCTGCGCTACATTGCATTGCGAGGTGCCCTGAATCAAGACAGGTATGGTACCTATCTCCTCTCCGCCTTGATACTGCTCTTTATGGGGGCTCTTGTGTGAGTGAGTGGTGTTCATCTCTTATCCACTTACTTAAGAACAAGGAGTGGGGTGATCTATTTCGGGCTTTGGCGTGGGGGATCTGGCTGCGGCGTAACAGGTGGGTTTTTGAGAAGCAGAGAAGAGATGTTGAGGAGGTCATTGGCAAGGCTGTTGGCTTAATAGGAGAGTATGCGCAATCCATGGCTGCTCGCAACATTGGAGGGCATGAAAAGTTTATGACTACCTGGACAGCTCTTGTTTCGGGTACTGTCAAAATAAATTCTGATGTTGCGCTTTTGGAGGGCTCTTTTACTGGTTTTGGTGGTATTGCGAGGGATTCGGTTGGGGATTTTCTTGTTGCTATGTGTGTGAAAAATCGGGGCAGCGTTCCTGTTGACGTGGGTGAAGCGGCTGCAATGCGATGTGCTCTAGCTACAACTATGGAGGTTGGTTTCAGAAAGTTTGTTTTGTAGTCTGACAATATAAAGCTCTTTCATCATCTAAAGAAGGGTCTCTTAAGGCCTGTTCACATTGGCTATTGTGACGATGCTTCTTATAGAATAAGTCGTCCTTGTTGCAAAAGTTCAGATTATGCTATTTCGTATTATAGTTCCCCATTTTGTTGTGGATTGATATATGGGTCTGTCACCAATTACATTTCTGACATAAAGTCAAATCGAAAGAGCTCCTCAAACATGGCTAGCTATAGCGCGTATTGTGTGTGTTAGCCGCCCTACGGCCCTAGTTAGTAAGAAGGTACTATTAGTTAATCCCTTTGTTCCCGAAAGAACGATCCTTTTGGGTTGATTTCGCGGGTATTAAGAATATTAAATAAAAAGAGGTAAAAGTATATTGAAAAAAAACAGAAACACAACCGGCAATGACCATATCTCCAAGTCTACAAACTGTAATGAAAGAATTCTTGGCCAAAGAACTTGTGGATAGAGCCGAATTACAATTGAAAAAAGATTGTAACTGTTTTTTTTGGTGCAATGATTCTAATTGTTCGTGGGTATGAAAGTACTTATTACTTGTATAATATAAAAAGAAAATGGCTATGATTGGAAAAAAGCAAAAGCAGGTTACTATTGAGAATTTCCCTTTTAAAAATCACTCTACTATAAGTGGCTTAAAGTAATAAACAAAACTGGGCCTTCTATCCGTGGGCTTTTGGCGAGCTACCCTCATCAGATACAAGTCTTTACTTCGTTAGCCAATATATATATATATATATATATATATATAAGTACAAAAAAGAATAAAAAATAATTATATAGCTAGAAAAAATAAATAAAAAGGAATATCCTTAACAATTCCAAGACATCATTCTCTTTAAATCCTCTTTTTTTTTTTATTTATTTATTTATTTATTTATTTATTTATTTATTATTATTATTACTAATAGGGATTTTATCACTGGTACCCTCAAAAATTTAACTTTTATCAATGGTGCACCTCATTAAGTTTTCATTATCAGCGGTGCCCCTAATATTTTAGCCTAATTGCTACAGTGATCTTTTTGTTATTAAAACGCTTATTAAACGTTAATTAAAGTCAATTTGGGAGAAATAAGGTCAGAAATTGTGATTTGCCTAAAAAAAAGGTCAGCTACTGAGATTACCAAAAAGCCCCCCCACGCATTAACTTTCCCCAAGCCCAACTAACAACATTTATTTCAAAACTTTTCCAAAAAATTTGATCGTCCATCTTCCTCTCTCCCCTGTTCTGAAGCACGCAGCAACGCCCTAATTGAAGAAAATTTTGTGGAGAATTGCTCTGACAAATTGCTCTATAAGGTTAGTACTCATCCTCGATTTTGTTCTTGTGAAGTATTTTGTATAAATTCTAATGTTTTAGGTTAGTTAATGCTATTTTGTTTGGGTGTTCTAATATAAGTTCGAATATGGAATTATGAGTATTATTGTTTGATTTATGTTGAATTCATGCTAGAATTGCATTGTAGTTACTGTTGATGCATAAAGTTTGGTTTTTTTCATATGTAATTCGATTATGTGTGATGCATGCTACAATTCTTCCAATTTCATAACCTAGGTCTGTTTATATTGTCGTTCTTGAGTGTGTGATGATATTTTGTGTTGAGTATTATTTAAATGGTAGTGTACTATGATTTGTGCAGAATGGATGACACAGTATTGTTCAGATTTAAGTATAAAGTGCATAGAGTTGATATTGAAGTGGATGTTGATAGATGTAATCTCATGGATTTGATTATAGATTTTGAGGATGAGTTACAAAAAAGAGGGGTAGTAATAGTGAATCCTATATTTTCTTATGCTTAGAGAGGCAAACATTGGCCTATTGATGATGATGGTGGTGTGCAAAGGATGTTTAGGACTTTTCCAGGGGCAAAAATGTATGAGATTCTGGTTGGTACTAACCCTGTTAGGAGTAGTTACATGAATGACCTTGTTTATGAGTTTAGGAGAAACAAAATAGTTCTTGAAGTAGGAAACTTTCCACCACCTCCAACAGATGAACCAGACTCACCACCCTTATAAAGTAATCCAACAATTGAAACACAACCACCTCCTACAATTGAAACACAGCCACCTCCTACTCATGCACCAGCTTCACCCAATTATACCATTAACTATACAATTCAGGGTGAGACAACCAAGCTTAAACCTAGAAGGAGGCTAGTAAAGAAGTACCTTGATGAGGGTAATGAATGTGAAGATCCTACCAGTCCCCCATTAGTGAATATGCTAGGGAGTGAGTTTAACTATGATCCTGATGTTACTTGGGCTGATATGATGCAAGAGAATGAGGAAGGAAATGATGAGGACAATGCTCAGTCAAGGAAGGAATATACTAAGGGTAGGAAAGAGTTTGAGAAAGTTTGTGAGAAGGCTAAGGCTACAGTGAGTTCTGCTGGGGTAAAATCAAAAGGGAAAGGGAAAGTAAGTGAGACAGGGAAAGGGAAAGGAAAATTAAGTGAGAAAGGGAAAGGGAAAGGGAAAGTGAATGCAGAGATCGATTGACATGGAGAGGGTAGTAACCTCTGGTGGTGAGAAGTACCCCCCATCTCCCATATCCCCACACACTGTGTTTAAAACCTTGCCAGTTAGAAGAAGCCCTAGGTTTTCACCTATCCAAACCACAATTCAACCTAATGTGGTTCCTTCTTCTAGTCCTCACCCTAGACAGTTTGCACCTATGAGTGACCCTAGCCTATTTGCTAGGAAAATTGCAAGACCACTGCTAGAAGGAAAAGGATTTTGATTAGTGCTAAGTCTAAGGGAACACTTGAGGAAAAAAATGTGCTGAGCCTAGTGAACCTAAAGCTAGGAGGAAGATAGTGTATGTTAGCAATGATAGAGATGGTGGGGGTGAGCCTAGCGAGTCTAGCAGTTCTACTGGTGATGATAGTGAAGATGATGATTTTGAGGGTAATGATTTTGATGCTGATGATGATTCTGATCTTGAGGTGGTCCCTGATGGAGAGGTACCTGAAGATGAAAGGGTGGATGTCAACTGTGTACCCCACATAGAAGATAACTGGGAGGCTGGGTTTTGGGCTGGGTTTGTGGACTCAAATGATGATGAGGACTACTTTAAGAAGTTGTATGGGCAGGGGGAAGTGTATGAAGAGGTCAAGTTTGGAAAAATTACTCTAAGGCCATGGATGCTTTTCATAGACAAGGGTCATTTGAGATAAACACTAAAAGATTATGTAGTTCAAGAGGGGTTTGCTTTGAATGTCATAGCTACAGACAACAAAAGGTACACTGTCACATGCTATGCAGAGTGTTGTGAATGGAGGCTTCATGCCAGTAGGTTGTCTGATGGGAAGACATGGGCAATAAAGAATATTTGGCCTGATGTTCATAACTGCAGAGGTCTGGAGACCTACAACCCTATATGCACTGTCAAGTGGGCTGCTCCAAAGGTCATGGAAGATATAAGGGCAGCTCCAGATATTCCAGGGAAGGCTCTCAATAAGCTTCTGTTCCAGAGATTTGGCATCATATGAAACAAGCATCACTGTACAGGCTCAAGAAGTATGTGATTGAAGAGCTGTTTGGTGGCCATGATGAGTCTTACTCTCATTTGCCTAGGTATGCTGACATGATATGTGCCACTAACCCAAAGTCTAAGGCATTTGTTGGTTGGACATTAAGTGAGAGCATACCTAGGGTGAACTTGTTCACTAGTATGTTCATTAGCTTTGCTGGACAGTGGAAGGGATTCCTTGCTGGGTGCAGACCATTGATTGGGGTTGATGGGGCCCATTTGAAAGGAAATTATGGGGGTGTGTTGTTGTCTTCAGTTACAATTGATGACAACAATTAAATATTCCCATTAGCATATGCTGTAGTAAGTGGAGAAGACAAAGAGACATGGTCATACTTTCTTTGGCAAATATACAACATTGTCAAGGAATCAGGGAGGAAAGACTGGACCATCATTTCTGACAGGCAGAAGGTATAAGTCTTAACCTCACTTTTTTGTTCAAGTTTGAGTATGTTCATTATTTTAAACTAATGCTTGTTTATGTTGGCTGATGTCAGGGAGTAGATATTGCCTTGACCAATGTGTGGCCAGAAGCAAAGAGAAGATACTGCTGCAGGCATTTGAGTAGGAATTATAAGAAATCTTTTCCTGGGCCTTTGATGTACATTTTGTTCTGGAGGGCATGCAATGCCACTAATGTGTACAACTTCAGAAAGGCTATGGAAAGGCTACAAAAGGAAGGGGGAGCAGATGTGATGAAATGGTTTGCTGACTTGGGTGATCAGACAAAATGGAGCAAACATAAGTTTGATCCAAATGTGTGCAATGACTCCAACACCTCAAATTTTGTTGAGATTTTCAAGTCCACACTAGGGGTAGACAGATGCAGACCAGTTTCAACATTGCTTGAAGGTATATGTGACTATAACTTAATATCATGTTTGCACTTGGATGAAATGTGTGCTAATATTCCTTTATTTGTCATCTCAAACAGGAATTAGAAGAGTTTGCATGGTGAGAATTGCATCAAGGCATCAAAGAGCACAAGACTAGAATGATGAGGACTTGTGCCCTAAAATTGCTAAGCTTCTCAGAGAGATCATCAAAGCTACAAGCACATGCAGGGCATATCAGTCAAGTCCTGGAGAGTATGAGATTCATGAGGGGAGGTCTCAATTCCCTCTAAGTCTCAACAACAAAATATGCTCATGTGGAGCTTGGCAGTTGTCTGGTATCCCCTGCAGACATGCAATCAGAGTTATGCTGCATGCTAAAGTAGATCCTCACAACAATGTTAGCTCATGGTATTCTGCAAAAACATACAAGCAGGTGTACTGCCATGCCATACACCCAATTCCTGATTTCTCTCAATGGCCACCAGCTGATCCTAACCACCCCAACCAGATTGCCCCACCAAAGATGAAGAGAGGTATTGGAAGGCCCAGCAGAAACAGAAGAAGGGAAGAGGGTGAAGAGCAACCAGGCAAGAGGGCAAGAATTGTGAGATGCAACAGCTGTGGAAATTTTGGCCACAACAAAAAGACTTGCAAAGGAGGTTTAAGTGGGAAGGAATTGAAAGCAAGTGAGGCATTGGTGGTTAAAAATCCAAGGGTGAGGGATCAATCAAAAGCTGCCAAGGAAGCTGCTGTTAAGTCCAAAGCTGCTGGAGCTGCAACAGAGATCTCATCATCTCATATGTTCAGCCAACCTTAAGACTTGTCTCAATCACAGCCATGAAGCATGCTATCCTACACTGTCCTGTTCTGCTACTTTTGCAATCTTAGGGAACTAATTACTTTTTGGATTGGAACAATAGTTTAAAAGCTCATCATTGTAAGTGTTAATGTACTGTTTTTTGATAAGAGGTTTTTAGGAATCAACTTAAAATTTTGACTAAGTTGTTTTTTGGAACAAGTTTTGTGCAAATAATAGACCTTTCTTATTTGCCATCAGTTACTTATGATTAAGTCTTTTTTTTTTTTTGTCAAATTAAGCATCTGTACTGTATTTGTTTCATCCTTGCAATTTGCTGCAGTTGGCTATGCAAATAATTTGATGTAATATACACAAATAAAGAAACAAATCCATGTCTTTATTCCAAAATAAAACACCAACTACATTACACTTTGACAATTATTGAAAAACAACAACTAAGTTCATCTATTTCAAAGTAACTAAAAGTAACACCAAATACATAACCACATCCAATTTCACCACCATGTACATAAAATCAGCAAAAGCATCAGTCTTCTGCATAAAATCTGCAAATTCAGCCCTTAATGCATGTATATATGCTGCATCTCCTTGCCTCCCTCCAATGTCCCTTACAATGTTGTCTTCCCTTACCCACATAAAAAATTCACACAGCCTACACTTATAATAGGGCCTTCTAGGGTTCGATATTGAGTTCGAAAACCTAATGTCTGCATATCTTGGTGGTTGGCAATTGCAGTTCATGCCTCTGAACCAAGCACCTTCACAACTGATGCTCCTTGAAGATGCATCCCTGCCAGAAGAAGCCATTGATGAGTATGAATTTTAAAAGAAAACTGAAGAGAAGAGAAGAGTAGGGAAGAGAAGATGGAATTTTAAAGAAGCAGAGAGTTTAAATAGAAGAGAGAGGAAAGAGGGAAAAATCGATAAAAAGGGAGGGAAAAAGAAACAGAATTTTGGAGGGAGTTCTTGGGGTAAGGGCATTTCAGTATTTTCATCTCCCAAACTCCTTAAACAACACAAAAACCCCAACTTAACGTTTAATAAACGTTTTAATAACAAAAAGATCACTGTAGCAATTAGGCTAAAATATTAGGGGCACCGCTGATAATGAAAATTTAATGAGGTGCACCATTGATAAAGTCAAATCTTTGAGGGTACCAGTGATAAAATCCCTTACTAATATTATGTTTTAAAGTAGCAGCTCGGTGCAATGTCCGAGCCCCACCATAATTTGGTTATCTATAAAAGTGCAACATTTTGTATCATGTTTTTTTAGTCTCCTAGTATTCACAGCTTAATTTCTAATTCAAGTAACTTGTTTTTAAGAAAATGTATAATATGAGAGTGATGGATATATCAAGTGATTAGCGCTTTCCTCCCGATTCCAGGAATAAACTCCGGTATCAATTCTCATTACCCGCTCTTGTTGCCGCTCTCTAAACAAAAATAAAAATAAAAATGTATGATCTAACAAAATGAAAAATGTGTTATCATAAATTGTTACTCAAGTGTATTATAGGCATTAAAGTTTTTACATTAATAACACGATATCTTGTATCATCATATTGTGGAATGTATTAAAGCTACAACTTTTATCGATGGAATAATGATTAAAACTTTACATTGATTAAATGCAGTCATGGGTTCAGGCCTTCAAGAATTGATGCCATTTTTTTTAAGGAAGCAATTCAATATTAATTAGTGTGTGCCTTTGGTTGAATGGAGTAAAAATATTGTACTGAGTAATTAACAATTTGTTGGATTATTAAAAATAGACCCACAAAAATTGATGCGCTTTAAAAAAAAAAAAATTAAATAAAATGAAAGGAGTTTATAGGTAAGAAAGAAGAAAAAAAAAAAAAAAAAAAAGAATCAAAGACAATTTCCAATGATTCACCATCTAATCCAAATAGGAGGGTGATACTTGAAAGTGACAATATATCTTTCTTGATCATGTTTCAAATAATCAAAATAAAGAATTAATAATCACGATATATATACAAAAATTTTAAATATGTAGTAATATAATATCACACTTGATTTTTACTTGGGTCATTTCAGGTAATATGCTTTTGACTTTTTAAAACAATAAATCAACAAAGATATTGTCCATTTCAGTCTAAAAATCATAATGGATTGCAGGAAATCATATTCATTATGCATATATTCCGTTTATAGTAAGAATTATATCTTTCATGAAATACATCAAATTGAGTGGACAAAGTATGATATAATCAGTTAATCACTTATTATCTTTCACTTCGCCTTATTTTTGTTGAACTGAAATTATTTTTACTGAACTGAAATTATTTTTGCTGAAGTTAAATTATTTTTACTGAATGAAATTAATTTTACTGAATTGAAATTATTTTTATTGATTTTCAGTTATATTTATTATGTAAGGTTATTGAAATTTACTAAACTGAAATTATTTTTAGTGAACTGAACTTATTTTTTATTAATTTGAACTTATTTTCACTAAACTGAAATTATTTTTATTGAAATCAAATTATTTTATTGAATATTATTTGTTAAGGTGAAGTGAACATGGCCTTGTAAGGAATTAAGGACCATGCCTATGTACCATACTTTTACCAAACACGCAACATTAATGAAATACGGATTAAATAGTTTAAATTTGAAATTCACTTTACTAAATATCCGAAGTAATAAATGTCTCTCTTAAAACAAAAGGAAAAAAAAAACAGAAAAACTTTTGAAACTTAATATCCGAAGTAATAAATGTCTCACCGTGGGGAACGAATCTCACAATTCAACAACACTAGTTTAGTTATATAAATTTAACGAGTACGTGAACGAACCCTAATTCACTACTTCGCTATTTACGTAGATAACTGTTAAGCGGATTCGACTAATTTTTCTAGTCTTGTTAATGAAATAACTCTTGCTTATAACTGGTGAAGGTTGCAACTTACTTGTGATTTTATATAAAATACAAGGATGCATTTAGTTTTCCTTAGATGGTAATAATTTTTATTTTACATTAGAATCATATTGCCAATCCTTTAGTCCAAACGTTACTACTTTTCAATTATATATCTCCCACCCTCCCCCATTCTTAACTTCACAAAAATTTTCATCCTTCTGCTCAATTGTTATACAACATTTTTGTATACCTTAAAAAGTATGGCAAAACTTAATGAAAACTCACCATTGATTGGAGTTACCCTTTCTGAAGTAGAAGATCTACAATTTTCGTCTATTGCTGAATTGGTATGGAATTTTAATTCTTTTTTTTCAATTTCTTATAAGTTAAGCAATGTTCATTCATTCTTTGTATATATTAGAATTGAAATGAATGATTTTTTTTTTAAAAAAAAAAAAAAAGAAGAATTGAAATGAATGATGGTTTAATTTAGTGTAACAATTTGTTTTATTGGTTGATTGTCTATTCTTGTTATTTCATATTAATTTTATATCTTAAATTGTTGATATGTGTTTGTGATATTTTTGAAGGAAGTGTTTGGTTTATTTATCATCAAGATTTTTTTTATTTATTTTTTTCTTAAAAAAAAATTATCAACTTCATTCTATGTAGTGTTTAGTGTCATGAATTTTTTTTGCTATCACATGACTGATGAATAGATCTGGTTTTCTATCAGTTTTTTATTTTTATTTTTATTTGTAACCTTTTATGTCACAATTTATTTGCTATTGCTTCTTAATCGAATTAAGTTTACTATGAGGATAGTGATAGATCCGTTCAAAAAAAAAAAAAAAAATTTGAGGTTAGTATGTAATAGATCAACAAATCAATCGGATTACATTTTTATGTGCCAACATTTTTTTGTAATGTTTTATGTCACGATTAATCAACTATTCGTATAAAATCAATCAAATTATACTCGTAATTTCTTTTAGAGATATATAGATAACTGAATCAACCATGTTATTTTTCACTGACCTTTATTTGTAACACTTTTTGTCATGATTTATCTACTACTTTTTTTTAAAAAAAAAATAGTCAAAGTTTATTATTTATTTTTTAAATATATATATAACGAGCCGTTGGATCAATAAATCTATCCAATTATTTTTAGATCAAAGATAATGTGTGTAGTTTGAAGTTTTGGTACTTTTAAATTAATTTAAAGTTCTTTTCAACTTACTAGACAATTAGATCAAACAACATGTATGATGACCATAAAAACATACATGTTTCATCAAACAGACTGTTACACTTATAGATTGAAATACAATGGAAGTGATTTTTTTTTCCCTGTCTTAAACCAACAATTATGCGAACAGTGTGTTAAAGTGTGGATCAACACTTAATTATACTTTCATCTTCTATCTCTTTTCGTTTTATACTTTTTACCTTATTTTTATGAATTCAGATGTTCAAAATCATTAAAATTAATTACTTTTGTAAAATTTGAAAAATCATTAAATAACTATTAATTTACCACTAATTAATAAGTGAACGTACAGTTGTCATTTTTTTTTTTCACAAAAAAACGTGAATGTAAAGCTGTTATGACTTTAGTAGTTTAGCTTGCCACTTTATTTTTAATTTTTTATTATTTTTTTTAATCTAGATTAATTTTTCTTATAACAAAAAATAAAAACTGACAAAAAAAGTTATTAATTTTATTTATTTCTCCTATTAAACTAATATGAGTTTTCCAAAAAAAAAAAAAAACCTTAAATGAATTATTTATTTTTATTTTATTGATTTTATTACTCTTATTATTATTGTCCTTGGCTGTCATGAAATAATCTTTCGCTCCTTTCAAAAAATAAAAATAAAATAATAAATAAAAAATAAAACATAAAATAAAATAATAATAATAATAATAAAAATCTTTTGCTGAATTACTGATTTGTTAGCTTTGTACCTGATATCGATTATGTTCAATTGTTCATGCATACATTTTCATACTTCCTATTGTTTATACTGTTACATTCATTTGATAATTTTTTTTAAATTTTTTTCTGAATGATACCATTTTTTTTTGAAAATTCTATAGTGGTCG